ACCATACTTTCTCCTACACACTTTGAAGGTGACCTGAAAGTAGGGTTAAACCTCCCCGACTGTTGATCGAAGGAGGCAGAGCAGTCGTCTCTGAACGGGTCTGTGACTGTTGGTGTGTTTAAATCTTGTGTGGGTGGGATAAACAGGTGCTTAGAGCCAATAGAGCGTGTACGAGTAGAACTTCTTCCTGAACTGGACAAAAAGTTCAGACTGTGAAGAAAAGTAAAAAGTAATCTCTGGTTCCTCTGAACGCCGTTTCGTACTGACTGTAACTGAAACCTCAAACAGGGTCGAGTCTGTGTCTCTCGTCTTTTTACGTACATCATGTATGATGTAAATATAATAATTGTGATGGTAGTTTGGTGACATACAGCTAACTGCAATGACGCGGGAAACTACATCTTGCGGAATTTGCATTAATTGTTTTGATCGCAACTTCCTGGAGGGACTGAAAAACAAATAATAAATCAATTGTTCACAGTAAAATCCAGTTTTATATTTGTCAGTTGGTCTGATTTCAGGGCAGATTTAGTTGTTTTTAGTATTTGTTTGCAGTGAAACTTAATGAAGCTGCTGCACTGAGGCTGCAGTCAGTGAACGTGTCTTCATCCTCGTTATGAATCGGTTCCGCTGCAGATAGCGAGCTGTAGAAAGCGAGCTGTAGATCGGCAGATGGTGGTGGCGAGGACAGACATCCTCTTCCTGTTCTGTCTTCCTGTCACATCTGTCCACAATCTCCTTCCTGTCCTCAAGGATCTGACCTCTGCAAAAAAAAGAAAGCTTGTTTGAACTTCCAAATAAAACGTTTCTCATCGCTGCAAACAAGACGATGACCTTGGTTTCCCTCAGGGTCACGTGTTGCATCACTTCCTGTTTCTTCTAAATGGAGCTCCACAACAATGACTCTGCAGAATTTAAAACCTTTAACAGAGTTGAACGTTACTGTAAGTGCAATTTAAAGTGCTGCTAGTATTCACATACTCTAATGCTGACATAGAGTGGACAGCTACACACAGGTAGCACACGGGAACTTTTACAAACAGCATGAATATGCTTCTAGTGACTGTAAAAGCTCCAGCAGACAACAGCTGCTCGTTAGCTCTGTTAGCTCTGACTAGCAGCTCGCTAACAGACTCAAAGGGTGTAGTTACACTTTAAAGAGCCTTACAGAAAACTATTGAACTATTAAAACGTTTTTTCTGATCGTATTTCCCATTAAATCTGATGTTTTGACTCTTCAAGAATCTAGAAAAGTTGAATAATGACAGTGTTTAGATTCTTGTTGGATATTTGTCAGATTATAATGTTTGAAACTAGTTTCTTTTTATAGAACTCACCCTTTTTAAATTATATTATTATAACCGTAATAAAATTATAATTATATTAAGGATTAAAGTTGGTGCCGTCACAGCAACTGAACAACTTTTAAAGACATTAAGGATATTAAATTTGTCCGTATGAACTGATGTATAAACTCTGTGTTTCAGAACCAGCTGCTGACTCGTGGTCTGTCTGAAGTCCTGGATCAGGTCCACCCCCACTCTGGTGAGACTGCTTTGTGGTTTCTCTGTCTGAACTCTGAACTGCAGGCTCTTTGGTTTAGAGTTTATCCATCAATAATAAAATAAAGCTTTAATATCCCTGAGGGTCACTTCTTTTATTTTGTATGTGTTTGTTTATGTGAGTGGAGCTGATTCAGGTCTCTGAGTGTGAGTCTGCTCCCAGGAGCTGTTACTGGTCAGTTCCTGGGTTGTATTGTGTTTCTATTTAAAGCTGCTGTGATCAATAACCTTTAGTCTGACGCAATAAGACACACGGTTGTTGTTCTGTTTGTGTTTACAGACACCACAACAACAGATACATTTAAGTGTAATGATGTCAGGGATGTTGGACATGTTATGGATGCATTTCTGTGGTAACAACCTATAGTGTCTCCCGTAGGTGATGAGCAGCTCGTCGTCCTCGCCGAAATGTGGGACAGATTCTTCACAGAGATCCTCCCGACCCTGCAGGCCATCTTCTACCCCGTCCAGGTACACACACACTAACGTACACACACACACTAACGTACACACACACACTAACGTACACACACACACTAACGTACACACACACACTAACATACACACACACTAACATAC